TCCCCTCCTGGCTCTTCTTAGCTCTCTCTTTAGGTCCTTCCTGGCTAACTTGTAACTCTCAAGCGCCCTAACTGAGCCTTCACGCCTCATCTCTACACAAGCCTCCTTCTTCCTCTTGACAAGAGATTCAACTTCTTTAGTAAACCACGGTTCCCTCGCTTGACCACTTCCTCCCTGCCTGAGAGGTACATACTTCTCAAGGACACGCAGTAGCTGTTCCTTGAACAAGCTCCACATTTCAATTGTGCCCAGCCCCTGCAGTTTCCTTCTCCATCCTATGCATCCTAAATCTTGCCTAATCGCCTCATAATTGCCTTTCCCCCAGCTATAACTCTTGCCCTGCAGTATATACCTATCCCTTTCCATCGCTAAAGTAAACGTAACCGAATTGTGGTCACTATCACCAAAGTGTTCACCTACCTCCAAATCTAACACCTGGCCTGGTTCATTACCCAGTACCAAATCCAATGTGGCCTCGCCTCTTGTTGGCCTATGTACATACTGTGTCAAGAAACCCTCCTGCACACATTGGACAAAAACTGACCCATCTAAAGTACTCGAACTATAGCGTTTCCAGTCAATACTTGGAAGGTTAAAGTCCCCCATAACGACTACCCTGTTACTTTCGCAGGGCAGGTAAATAAGATTTTTGAGGGCTGGAGAATTCTTGTCAGAGGGTAAAGTAACTCAAATGAAGCAGGTAAACCTGCAGTTATACTAAGGAATGTAGGAGCCACTCAAACTACTTAAAGGCCTTGCATCTCCACTAAAATGTGCAAACAAATAGACTCAACAGTTAGACATATTACTACTAATACCATATAGGGTAACTTGTACTTCAGGTTACTTCTGAAATTTCCATTTAACTCCATCGTACAAAAAGACCAATTATCAACACTGCAAAAGAACTGAGCAGGGTATTTTGAATCCATACATAACATGGACTACTAAGAATAGAATGTGGCAAGAAAAGGAAAATAGGGGCGGATATCAAAAATGGCAAAGCCTCATTGTCAGTTGCCAAACGGTGAATTTAGGAGTTCCTTCTACATTTACAAATTTCTTGCACGTTACAAAATGAGGACAAAGTTTACAATATAAACACCAGTCTTTTAAAACATGGATGTACACTGCTTTAACAACAATATGTTTTGCGCAGGCTGGAAAATTTGACATTATCCCTACAATGATAAATATCGGATCTGGGTTAGCATTATTAGGAATGGTAAGTTCATTTATGTAACAAAAATGACGGCTATGCAATAAATATTTTGAACGATATAAACCACATTTTGTATTTCCTTTTTAAAGCAAGGAAGTTAAAGGATTTTTACTTTCCACATAGCCACTGGTCCTGTCGTTGCTTTGTAAGAAGTTGACAGTAGATATGCTTCAAAGTAGCAGCACTACTTTCAGATTGATTCTGCCTCCAAGAACACATTGTGTTTCAAAGCAGAGAAATTCAGATAATAAGGGAAGCAAACTCTGATCCATCTCACTAGGATCTAAAAGTCTTTGATTATAGTAATCAAATCGTGTTTTGAAAATAACCAAGTATTTCACCCTTTGCTAATGCCTATGGTCAACTATTAAATGAAACCGAGTGAGTGTCAGATCTATATTCTCAAAATGCTAGCCAATACTGTTTGAGAAGAGACAAATGGAAAGTCCTTAGTACTTGAGACTATTCTCCAGCACTGAGGAGATGGTACCCAAGCACAAATTACACTTGCATTGAATTTTCTCCCCATAATTGCAAACAGCCACCAAAAGGAGAAACAGAAGATCACAAGAGTTGTAATTGGAGTAGACCATACAGCCCTTTGAGCATGTTTTACCAACCAGTATGATGGTGAATCTTGGGCTTCAATTCTAATCATTCTGTTGAAGCTTTATTAAAGTAAAGAAGGGAGCATCCAGAATCCTTGGACATGGAGAATCCAAAACATTCACAATCCTTTCGAAGCAGCACGGTGGCACAGTAGTTAGCACTGCTGCCTCACAGCGCCAGGGACCCGGGTTTGATTCCAGCCTTGGGTGACTGTCTGTGTGGAGATTGCACATTCTCCCCATGTCTGCGTGGGTTTCCTCCAGGTGCTCTGGTTTCCTCCCACAGTCCGAAGATGTGCAGGCTAGGTGGATTGGCTATGCTAAATTGCCCATAGTGTTCAGGGAGGTTTAGATTAGGTGGGTTATAGGGGATGGGTCTGGGTGGGATGCTCGGAGGTTTGGTGTGGTCTTGTTGGGCCGAAGGGCCTGTTTCCACACTGTAGGGATTCTATTTTTTCTATGATCTCAATCCTAAACAATTACCCTCATCCTGAGACAGTGCCCTCAGTCAGCCAGTAGAAATAATCCCCTTAATCTCTACCCATTTAAGTCCTCTCAGATTTATGTACATTTGAATGAGATCACCTGTCATTTTAAAACTCGAGAATATAGGCCAAATTTACAGATTTTCATCAGCAGACAACCCTTTTATTCCAGGGACAAATCTTGTGAATCTTTTCTGTATTGCTTCCAATGCAAGTACATATTTTCTTTAAAAATGAAGACTACACACTATTTCAGGTATAGTCTCACCAAAACTCTGTCCGGTTTTAGCAAAATGTCTTAATCTTAAATGCCCATTCCCTTTCAATAAAGGGGAGTACCTGAATGCTATTTTGTATTTCACAAATGCACACAAAAAGTCTCTTTGAACTTCAATGTTTGCATGTTTAATACCTTTAAAAATTCTCTTTCTTATGATTGAACTTCATCCTTTCATAGGACGTGGACATCACCAGCATTTGGTGTCCATTCTTAATTGCCTTTTTAAATTGAGGGGATTGCTAGACCATCTGAGGGCAGTGAAGAGAAACCATTCCTGTCGATCTAGAGTCACATGTACACCATTATTGGGCAAGAATGGCAGATTTCCTTCCCTAAATAAGTTTTTACAACAATTGATGATAGAAACCCTGGAACATGAAAGTGAGACAGGCTTTCACAGCTATTCATTGAATTTAAAATTACACCAACTGCCATGGTGGGATTTGAAACAATGTCCCCACAGCATTAACCTGGGACTCTTGATTATTAGTGAATTGACTCAGCTGACTGATTTAAATAAGATGATGTTGTAGTAATTACATTCATTCAGCAAGTCATAGCAAGTCTCCGATCTTGGAGACCAACAAATAAAAAGTTACTAGAAGTTGAAAAGAGTATCCCTCTACCTGGACCCCTCTGAGCTTTCACCTGCACTCAACTTGTTCATTGACCAATGTCACGTCAACCTTCTCAAAAGTGTGGCCATGGACCCGTTATGCTGGTCTTTGTGGGATAGGTGGAGGGTTGTGACCCACAACTGTTCTCCAATACATTGAAGACATCATCAATGCTGCTTCCCCCTCTCATCAGAATTGGAGAAGTTAATCAATTTTGCTTCTAATTTCCACCCAGCTCTCACCTTCACCTGGTTCACCTGACTCCTCCCTTTCCTTCCTCAACAAGTGTTTCCATCTCTGGGGATAGACTGGCCACCAACATCCATTATAAACCCAGACTTCCAGAGTTACCTTGAGTATATATCGTCACACCCTGCTTCCTGTAAAGACTCTCTTCCATTCTCCTCGTTTCTTTGTATCTGTCACATCTGTTCCAGTGACGCCTCTGAAATGTCCATCTTCTTCCTCAACCAAGGATATCCCCCACCAAAGGCAAACTTATAATAAAACTGGCACAAAACAGCTGTTGGCAGGGCTGTCAGACATGTCTGATCCATCTCCCACACTTTGGCCCTCCCCCCTTCTCTTCCCTCCCACAACAGTGACAGGGTCCCCCAGTCTTCTCATCACCCCACCAGCATCCACATCCAAAGGATCATTAGCCACCATCAGACACATTCCCTTCCCATGTCAGCCTTCCACAAGGGCCACTCCTTCTCCATTCCCAACATCGCTTCACACCCCCACAAAACCATCCTATGCAATTGCAGGTGGTGTGACACCTGCCTGTTTACTTCCTCTCCTCACTATCCAAAGCCTCAGACGCTTTCCAACTGAAGCAGCAATTTACCTGCAGTTCACTCAGATATAATCTACTGCATTCACTGCTCATAATGTGATCTCAATGTTGGGGAAACGAAATTCAGACTGGGTGACTGCTTTGCAGAACACCTACATCCTGTCTGCAAAAATGACCCTGAGCTTCCTATTGCCTTCTGCTTTAACACACCATTACATTCCCTAGTGAACATTTGTCTCAGGCTTGCTGCAATGCTCCTGCAAAGCTCAGCACAAGCTGGAAAAACAGCATCTTGTGTTTTTTACCCCATTTGGGACCCTGCAACCTTCAGTAGTCAGTATAGAGTTCAATAAGTTAAGGGCCTGAGCACCTTCAGCTATGTCCTTGCTCCACTGCCACACAACAGGTCTTGTCATCACATTGGCAACCACTGATCATCCCCATCAGCAACTATTGATTCTCCCAGCTGACCTTAACTCATTCCTTTAGCTTCCCAACTGCCATTCTCTCTGGGCTTCGTGTCTACCTGCTGTTTACTCCTCCTTCCTTCCCACCTTCAGCATATATACCAACATTTTCTTGGCTACAATCAATTTTGAAGGTCACTGGACCCAAAACAGTAACTCTGCTTTCTCTCCACAGACAATTCCAGATCTGCTGAGTTTTCCCAGCAATTTGTATCTTTGTTTGATTTCCAGCATCCACAGGTAATGGGAAAAGAACACCTTTGCACATATCCCACCTATACTAAATCTTGACTTGGCACTGGTTGCTCATCACACTCTTGCCTCAGCCCAATCTATGCTTCCATTATTCTGAATGATAGCAAAACCTGTTCATTCAATGTGTGCATTTAAAATGTGCTTTCTTTGTTGTATAAGCCAAAGTTGATTTAAATACTTAAGTTTTAGCCTAAGGAACTGCATTGCTAATTATTTTGTTTTATTTTATATTAAAACAAGCGATATAATTGAAACCTTTCCTTTTAGGCAACAATCTTGTGTGATCTAATTGTCCTGTACTTCTTAAAGAAAAGCAAATATTACAAAGAAAAGAAGTACAAGTATGTTGACGACTATGAATTGGTAAGGCAACAAAATATTGTTCATCTTGCCAGCTGATGTGATTTTTCCGTCGTCATGCAGTTTCTTTTTATTGCTAATTAATGTGTTAAAATATCATTTTTGTCATGATCAATTCAAATTATTTAACAATTCAAGATGATTAGCATTATTGGCAATAACAAAGCTATGTGATGGATAAAAACAGAATCATCACTGGTGGACCAAGAGTTTTGTAATCTCTGCATAATGAATTGCTGAATGGATTTTATTTTGTCTAATTAAATATTCAAAATAAACCTTAATTGTTTTCTTTGCCATGAAATATAAAACTATAACCCTAAGGAATATAGACATTTGAATATTACTGTAGAAAGCAAAGAAAATTATACTTAGTATACTATTTAAAAACAAATGTTCTTAATATGCACTGAAAGTCACATTTTAAGCAAAATGTGTCAAATGTATAATGGAGAATTATTGGGAAAGTATAATATTCCTGAATTACAGTACAAGGATTGCAATATTACATGAAACAAAATCTATGGAAATGAATAATGCCTTTATCTCATGTTAAAAGGGGATTGAATCAGAAGATTAAAGGAGCCATATGGAATTCTGGAAACAAACTGACTTCTGTCCTGTGAATCTGAAGTCACAAGACTGATTTTCTACCTTGGCACTTGACTAACAGGTCCATCATAAAACTGTAAATATTAATGAGTTTTATCTGAGAGCTTGATCAACAACTTGAAAGGGGACTCAATTGTTTTAAAAATGATTAAAGACTAAACCTATTGAACGTGACTATTTTTGCTTTGATTATTGACGTAATGTGGAACAACATGAACAATCAAGGTGTAAGTAACAGATGGCTTTGCTTGCTGACACCCTGGAAGTAATATTGGGGATGGACTGGTGCTCTGGTAGCACTAAGGAAGTTGAAGAGAGAACAGATGGAATAGCAGAATGGGATAGTGGAAAATTTGGAGATCAGTTCATGGAGTGCTCTTGTGTCTTCTCCCCAAAACTGCTGTAGCTTTGCTCCAACTGTTAAAGGAGGCTGGCAAACCCAGCCAACCACATTAAAACAGTAAAGGTTAAAATCTGTGGTTCCTTGCCTCATTTAAAATAACTATTTACCTTGGAAGTGTGCTGGATACTCTCCCCTTGCACAACTTTTGTAAAACTCAGAAGCTAATGGGTCCAATTTCACTTTCCAATATACTCAGCCTAATTAAATCCTTCACCTGCACAAAACTCTGCCTGTGCTAAGACCCATATTAAAACTCCCCCATTATGGTAAGATTTTAAATAAACAGCAATCTGAACAAATGTTGTAATTTTTATAGTCTCAGAAGGAAAACTTTGCCAATTTCTGACTGGATACCCAAATGTATAATTACATTTGTTACAGCACTAAATGAGGTCATTTAGTCTGTGTTGGAACAGCACAGCGGAAATCCAACTAGATACACACACTCGCTCTCTTGCTGTAATCTTGCACATTTATCTTTAGGTGCTTCACATGTCACTTTTGCTAATTGCCTTAAATCTCTGCTCTTTGTCAAAGGGAAGGTTTCTCTTCATTTACTGTGTCTGGAAACCTTATAATTTTGAGAAAGCTGGAAAGAAAAACAGAGGCGACAAAGCACAGTAAACAGGTGAAAAGCTACATTTAGCCCTGTTTAGAACTGACAATGAAAGCAGCAATGAGGCCATAAAACTTATGTGTCAGAACCTATTATTGAAGAAGCGAATTTGACGGAACTAATTATGGAGAGCCAAAAAAGTAGGTATTGTAGAAGCACACAGATGAAGTAGGAATACCAGTGATTGGTAATCCTCCTACAGTGGTTTGTCTGTCAAATATCCCCTTTAATATAAATCTAGGCACAATTTCTGTTTATTAGGCTCCCATTTTGAGAGATTCACGGTACGGAACATGAGAAGGCTGTAAGAGATCATGCATTACCACCCAATTATATTTGCTGAACACAAACTAATTGACACACCTCAGCAAGATTTTTGATTCACAATTCAATAATGTTAAGAAAGTAGACTTCGATAACAAGGTGTAGAGCTGGATGAACACAGTAGGCCAAGCGGCATCAGAGGAGCAGGAAGGCTGACGTTTCGGGCCTCGACCCTTCTTCAGAAAAATTCTTCCTGCTCCTCTGATGCTGCTTGGCCTACTGTGTTCATCCAGCTCTACACCTTGTTATCTCAGATTCTCCAGCATCTGCAGTTCCTACTATCTCCAAAAAGTAAACTTAGTTAGCTTTCTAAGTACTGAAGTCAACTGTAACAGACTTCCCAGCAGATCTTGTACCTCCTAAGGTCAATGTCGACATTTTCACTTAATCCAACCAGGTTAAAACTGTTGGAACAAGACTGATAAAAATTGATATTAGGATAATCTTGAAAAATAATTTCCATAGGTGGAGAGATATTCAGGGCAAATATAAAGGATCAGGACTAATGCTTGTGTGGATTGGTAATGAAAGAATGGCTTCTGTGATGTAATTTCTATATTAATGAACATATTTGACAGAGGCAAAAACAAAGTGTTGGAGAAACTCAGCAGGTCTGGCAGCATCTGTGAAGAGGAAGACAGTTAATGTTTCAAGAACAATAACTCTTCATCTGAGTTTTACAGAGGATTCACTAAAAGCCAACAGTCTGTCCTACAAATTTGCAACAGATGCTAGTGGAGGGTGTAAATTAGTTTTGAATAAATTGTACCAAATCAAACACATGACCTTAATAAATGCTTTATTGATGAAATCACACAGTTTAATACAGATTATAAATAAGTTTTATGATTACCTTAACTTCTGTAAATCATTATAAATCAATAAAATCAACAAATTACTTACCAAGCATTTTTATAAACAGCCATTACATTACGTAATCCATCACACAACTTCAGATTTTTCACAAATGTCACTTTACTATGTGATCTACAGTAAAAAGTTGGATGTTTTTCAACAGATGCAGTAATGGCTGTATTTCAAGACATTAGATAATATTTGTAATTAATTTACATATTTTACCTATTCATAGAAAAAGAAAGATTTTGGTTATGAAATACCGGATGAAAGTTCACCACGAAACAGCAGAAGTGCCTGAAAGTCATTTAAGGAGCATCTAAGTATGCAAGGCTATAACTGATAATTTAATATAATTACTATTTCCAGAAGTACATAACAGAGAATGTTTGGCCACTGTATAAAACTTAAGCACAAGAATCAGTTTTATTAAATGCACAAATTATATTTGGCAATTCGTTTCAGAAATATTGCAATGTAGCATAATTGTAACTTGTAGTTGACCACTGAAAAATTATCAATACGACAAAAGAATAAAAGGCCACTATGTCCTTCAATTTTAAACTGTGACATCAATTCACAATAATACAGTGCCTTGGACATAATTAAACATACAAAGGCGCTTCACAGAAATAGTCATACACAAATTGACATCTCAGCTAAAAATGATTTTAGGATGAATGACTGAAAGTTTGTGCAGAGAGGTAGGTTTTGAGGAGCATCTTAAAGTAGGCAAGGTTTTACCCAGAGTAAAGCAGATAACAATCATGGCTTTTCTACATTACAAATTCATATTTCTCATTCTTCAATGATGAGATAATTAAGAGCACAAAGTTTCCATATAAATGTAATATAGAACTGCATTAAAATCACATGACTGTTCACAAGAAACCATCATTTTTATTCCTCTATACGCATTTACAAATAAAAACCATTTCCACAAAATCTCATTATTGTGTGTTCTACTATTGAAAGCATTTGCCCTTTTCAAAACATTCCATTGATTAAATGATGCACGTTGCATATTAGTGAATTGGTACCACCTGGATAAAAAAAGTACTGTGGGATTTTTTTGCACTTGTAATCATATCTTCAACTTTTATGAAAAGGGTTTTGCTTTGGTCATCAAAATCAATATGGGAGACCATACCCATAAAATGAAGTAATTTTTTTTTAAAACTCTGGACAAGATAGTACTATGATAAAATCTTGTACACTGGTTAATATACAGTAAAATGCAGTAAATATGCAATCCAGATCATCTAAAGGTCTAGCATGTCTATGAAGAAAATCTGATTATTTATGGCAACTATGAATATGGATCAAAATATTGAAATGTCTCCACTATATTCAATGCAGTACATTTTAGGAAGTATTTTAAGAGTTACATCAATATAAACTAACCTCAAATACCATGCAAGATAATGTATCTAAACTAAAAGTGTAAGGTACTTTTTAAAAAAAATGTTGTAACAGTTCAGCCAAATTGGTATTAACTTGTAATTACAGAGTTGAGAAAGATTAAATGTAGATCAGAATATTGAGCCAATATTGTAAACATTCTATAATACGCATCTTAATTGATATTGTGGCAGTCAGTTTAAGTACCTATATTTCCTCCATTTTGAGGAGAAATTCTGGGTCCCACAACACCTGTAAGAAACAAGCACAACTACCTCAACTAAATGCAGCAGAAGTATCTTAAGAAAGCAAGTTACTTTGTACAAAGATTTAAAACATTAAAAACCAGTTGAACAGCTGTACCCATAAATTGACTATTTCCATGCCTTATGTTCAGTTACTGGTGTTTGAGGCAATGAAACATTTCAAAGAATTTTCATGCAAAACCACAAAAGACATTACAACCCGTGATTTGACAGCTGTTGATAACTTATACCTCAGGAAGTTCTCTTCTAATGCCTTAATCTGGCCTCTGACACATCTGTCATTCTCTGGCAACTGATGCATTTTTGTTGGAGAAACCAATGAGCATGCACAATGTCCTTTATTGCATTTTAACTTCATGACAGAACCACATCTTCTTCAACTTCTGGCAGATCAGGACCCTTCAGACTATCCCCACTGCCTTGTTTCCTGTCAACAGAAAATATACACATCATATCCTAACTAAATATTTAAAAAAAAAGTGAAATCTGGCATTTTATTGCTGTTCTGCCCATTATTTTGTAAATTTTTGGCCACAAGGGAGGAATACTAATGTTGGAATGGAATTATGTACTCCACATTTATCAGGCCACATTTAAAACATCCCCAGCTCGGGTAAACTGCCAAATACTACCTTAGTCTCTGAACATCATTCCTACTGAACACATCTGAGACCACTTAATAATTTAATGCCATTTTTCACAAAATCACCAGGCATTCTTGAGTTATGCAAACATCATACGCATCCAAATATACAACCTATATACCTGGTTTAGAATTACACAGTTTTATGCATTCTTTGCATGAAGACACCTCTCACAAACTATTACTTACATTTATGTACTGTCTTTAACCGATAAATCATCTCAATTCACTGTGTAGGAGCATTAGTGAAAAAAATGTAACAGGCGATCAAAAGTTTGGTTAAATGACAAGATTTCAAAGAAGTGATTTCAAGAAATACAGCAGAAATGATTGGGAAAGGGAATTTCAGAGCAGAACACACAGACATTATTTGTGGAGTGAAGGGAATCAAGGACCTGGAAGAAGCACAATGAAGACTGCAGACTGAATGAGGTTGCAGAGTTAGTGAGGAATGTGGCCATAGATAGATTTGAACACAAAATGAAGTTTTTAAAATTGTAAGTGTTGCCAGGTTGGGATTTGGAGAGAGTTAGGGCACAACAGGAGAACTGTGGATGAAGATTATGGAAGGTGGTGGGTAGTCCAGAAAAGCACTGGAATCTTTTAGTTGAATGTAATAAAGGCATGAATGAGGGTTTCAACAGCTGATGGGTTGAAGCAGAAGTGGAGTCAGATGATGTTTCAGAGTTAGGACAAGATGGTCTTAGTAATGTTAATGATAATTGCTTTGGTGTTAATCCAGAAACCCTGGAGGCATTACATGTTTTAAAGTAAAAAGGAATTTCAACTCTATGCAAAAACAAAAATATTCTTCTCCCAAATAATTTAATACCTCTGCTGTTGTGTTGGAAACAATCTGAAAGCCACATCAGATAGCAAGAACTGCAGATGCTGGAGTCAGAGATAACAAAGTGCGGAGCTGGAGGAACACAGCAGGCCAGGCAGCATCAGAGGAAAAGGAAAGCTGACGTTTCGGGTCGGGACCCTTCCTCTTTTCCGAAGAAGGATCCTGACCTGAAACTTCAGCT